TGTGATTAAATATTCAAATACAGTATTTAAGAAACAAAAGTGCATTACGTGTGACATTTCTCGCGGAGAACAACATAAACTAATTGCTGGATATTTGCCTACAAAATCAAATTAGGTTTAACTGATTAAATAATTTAATGACAATTTCATTACAAACCGATAACAGTGGTGTGATGATAGCGAGCATTACTTATATCACACTTTCCTATTGTGTAATAATATACAAGTTCATTTTAGCGAATCATAAAATGTCATCGTACAATATATCCCAATATTTCTGCAATCATTTACTCAACTATTCCTTTACTCGAACAGAATATCAACTTCTGTTGAGTGCAAGTCTTGGAAAAGTTTGGCAAAACTACGGGCATATATTGATTATAATTATCTGTTAAATTAATTAAAAATAAATAACAAAATTATCTATATTATAGTTTGCAAAATTTAAATTTATGGGTAAAAACACTTTGTTTATTGAAACCCCGATAGAGACAGAATGCGAATGAATGCGAAATATTGCTAAATTTGTGGAAAATCAATTTTCGCAATCCTTAATATTCTATTTTGTACTGTACTGTAGAATCGACATTAATTTTGTATTTATACAACACTAAAAGTTACGTAAAATATTTTTTTTCCCAAACTTTTCCAATACTGCACTCAACAGAAGTTGATATTCTGTTCGAGTAAAGGAATAGTTGAGTAAATGATTGCAGAAATATTGGGATATATTGTACGATGAAGTTATATTATTCGCTAAAATTACCTTGTATATTTTTACACAATAGGAAAGTGTGATATAAGTAATGCTCGCTATCATCACACGACTGTTATCGGTTTGTAATGAAATTGTCATTAAATTATATAATCAGTTAAACCTAATTTGATTTTGTAGGCAAATATCCAGCAATTAGTTTATGTTGTTCTCCGCGAGAAATGTCACACGTAATGCACTTTTGTTTCTAAAATACTGTATTTGAATATTTAATCACATTTTTCACAATAGATTTCACTGATATATTTGGACGACAAGGGAGTGGTATTCCAGAAGAATTTGCCGAATATGGTGGTCGAGTCATGCGATTGTGCTTAATGTCATTGTTTCTCAATTTAAATATATATAAATTTACAAATATATTCTACAATTTTTTATATAATTTGTGATAAAATGTGCGAATAATCGTATTATAAAAATCATTAATAAATTATTAAATATTCATTATATTAATAATTATAAAAATATAACAATTATGTGTCAATTTAGAAGTAATTTCAATGCAAACTATGTTTGTTTGTCTCTATCGAGTCGTAAATGTTTTTTAATCATAAAATACACGTCAAATCCAAACGATTGGAAAATAATTTTTATAGAATAAGCATTTTTTGTTAATAAATAAATTTCTAATCAATTAAAAACTTGTGATTACGTCTCTGATTGTGGTCTAAATTGTGATAAATATTGAGTTTAATTTTTACAAATAAATACTTTTGCTAAAAGATATCTAAATTTATGAATTAAATTTTGTGATTACTATAAACTCATATATTATTGTATCCATAATTTAATATTCAAATTTTTACTTTAAAATAGAGTTACTTAAAGTGTTTTCTGTAAATTGTGTGCAAACTGTTGACGATTACAACAGTGTATTACTGTATAATTAAATACATGATTTGTAAACATAGTTAACAATTTCATTAAATGATTTCAAAAACAATTACAAAAAAACTTTTATTAAAATTAGTGAACAAATAATTATAAACATAATTAATTGGTAGACAAGATTTGGATGCTTTTTCGATGCATTAGTCACAGAAAAAAGTAATTTTTTGTGCAAAATAAAATTGAATTTCTTAACTCTTATACACTATGCATTCAACAGTAGCTTAATTTCAATGATTAAAGTTGTGTTCAAAGCAATGAATCAAACATTACTTGTATCTAAAGTTATGTTTTTCTGTGACTAATGCATACAAAAGGCATCCAAATCTTGTCTATAATAATTGGTTATTCATTAATAATGAATCATTATAAAGATGAGCAATTAACAAACATACAATCAAAATTTATAAAAATTATACATTTTTAAATCTTATTAATAATTATTTCAATTTATAAATAAACCACATTATTCATACTGAATTGTGGTTAAAAATTATAGAAACTAATTAAACAAATCAACACATGATTCATACTGAATGTTATGTTAAACATACGTTCAAAATAATTGACCAAAACAATATAATATACGGTACATAAATGATTTATAATGATTTCAAATATAAATAAATGTACATTAATTCAATCATTTCAATACAATTTGCTTTTATGTACTAAATATGGACTGTTTTTCACTCTTTCCTTCACTTCAATATCACATTCTTTTGATAAACAAATCAACAGATCTTTGAAGTTCTTAAAGCCATAAGACTTGGGAAGAATGACTTCATCGTACATCAGTTCGTAAGCCTCGGAGAACTCGTCGACGTATAGACATTGGCTGGCATTTGGGCCGCGAGAGGCGCGTCGGATCACATCCACCGCTCTATCTCTAAATGTCGCGTCAAATGCTCTTCTCTTGGGAAGCATTGAAATAGTTTTGGCTCTCAGTTCTGGCGTTGACTTTATAAGTAGATATTCATCACAATTAGTGGAACCGTTTGATGGCTTCTGCAGATAAAACACGTCAGTCATCGAAGCAAACATTTCGATGGCTGAACAGTAGCCAAGATTTGATGGTATAATGTGTTCATTAAATAGTTTGAAATATTGTCTAATAAAATCTTTGGGTAAAATCCCTTTTGGATTCATGTCTAATATTTGTTGAAATCTCTTCATATCTTTTCTTCCAATCAATTCTTTCTTTTCAATCAAAGTATTAGTCAAATGGTTTCCATTAATTTCATTGGGAATGCCATAAGTAGTGGACATTATCTCTACTCTTTGTTTGAGATTATCTCCAGATTTATGACTCGATTTGACTTCTTTACGTTGAATATCATTACAAGAGTTTAGTTTAACATTAGATATGTTGTGAACCATCTGTTTCTCGACAACAGATTCGCTGACATGAGCTAAACAAACGGTTAGACCGTTACGCGTGGGCTCTAAACGAACCAATTGTGGCAGTCTTTTGAGAAACTCCTCCAAAGTATGACAACCAAAACGCGAGACATCAATGCTATTGTCATAAACCGATTGATAGATTGGCCCGAAATTGGATAAAGCGATCGTTTTGTATCTCTTCAACAAGTCATGAATCTTCATCTTCTCCTCATTGGATATCACTGTAGAGTCCGGTAGAGGACAGACAGCTATCCTCTTGTGTTCGTCTTTCTTCTTCCGTGGTTTCCAATGGGAGGCCAGCATTACTTCCTGAAAACCGTGTCTCACATCCAAATGCTCTTCATTTGGTTCGCATTCTTTGGTTTCCAACGAAAACGGTTTAAGACTTTTGACTATTTGTTTCGTATTTGTCTTTGGCTTAAAAACTCGTGGCAATGGTTTGACGATCTCTTTGTCCTCATTCTCGTCGTGTCTTTGATTGGCGACGAAGTCGACGATGTGTTGAGTGTTTGGATCCGATAAACAGTAGACGAGATAATCGTTATAATTCCTGTGTTTGTCCAACACTTCGACGCCAAACGTGTCGTCCATCTCTTTGATGAGATCAAACTCATTGTCAAATCCAAACCGATTTAATGGCAACTCTTGTCCTTCGCTTTGTCTGTAAGATCTGACCAGAGATCTGATCGGACGGCGAGTGCTCTGCGACTCAACCAAAGCCCGAAGAATTGTCTTTAACTCATCCCACTCTTGACCACCAATTCTCGCCATCACTATCACCACAACTGATCACTAGTACTGATAATAATGAATCAATTATTAAACATATAATATATAAAACATTTTACAAATGCTTTCATTTGTAAAACACAACAACAATAATAAACTTTTGCCACAAAAACACATTGAATTTGTATTTACATTAAGGGATCGATTCGTAATTGCAATCAACCATTACATCAAACACTAGAGATAACAATCAATGCAATCATTGGATATCAATTGAATTAATTGTAATTTGTTATCAATTATAATAATAATGTGTAAATCAAAAGTCAATAAATACCAAAACAATTGATTAAAACAATAAAAAGCAATAAAAACAGTAATGAATGCAATGTATAAAAAGTCCCCAACAGTTGAGTCCATTTGAGTGGCATTTGAAGCGCCATTGCTTTGAATAGAGAGGGAGAGAGTGTTGTGTTGAGTGTTGAGTGCAGTAGTGGTAGAGCTGGTGGTGACCAGTGCTGTGGCGGCCATAAGGCGGGCATAAGCTGTGCACTACCTGTACATTAGTGAACACATGGAAGCGTTGGGTCTGTTGTATAGGCTTTGCTAAACAAACAACAATTGACTGACTCTGAGGTTTGGATGAAAAGTAACTGACATTTGATGGCTACTGAAGACCACTTCCAACCCATTTGTCCATCCATTTGACTCATTGTATGCCTGAGTGACCGACAAAATGATGTCCAATAAATTGATAGCCAATCAAATCAACTCAGAGTTAAAACAGTTGAACGCCAAACGAAATCTGATGATCGGTGGCAACGAATTGAGTGATACACACATGTCGTCCATAGACACGGATCACCTCAAAGACCATATGGACGACCAGATCGACAGCGACAAGGATGACACCAACGATGACTCCGAAACTGATTCCCAGTCCGGATCCGATGGCGAAGAGAGTTCAGGTATGGACACGAAAATGTGAGCTAAACGTAAACGTATTGATAATGTATTGATTTTGATGCAGACATCGATGAGGAGGAATGCGATCGACGCAAAGACGAGTATATGGTTGAGATCACGGACTTAGAGAAACAATTTCTGGCCCTTAAGGACCAGTTATATGTGGAACGACTGTCACAAGTGGAGCACAAACTGGAAGAAGTGAGGGCCGGAAGGGCTGCCGAATATCTGCAACCATTGGAGGAATTGCAGGAAAACATGAGAGTGAGGACAGAAGTGGCCGGTATTGTGAGTCAACTCAAACTGACAAACATTAAGTGTCAGTTCGAGGCCGAGAAGTTGGCGAACCAACAGAACTTTGAGGTATGTGTCCATTGTATGCATCATTAAACCGATGATAACGTTGTGGTGTTGTGTTGTGTAGAGCGAGAAACAGTTACTTAAAGACAGCATAAGACAAGACGTCGAGGAGAAGTTACGACGGCTGGAAGAGGACAGGAATTCCATCGATAGTGACATTTGGAGTGAAAGTGCTTTCTCTAAGAAGAAGAAACGATACGGCAGTTCGGGTGCGGGTTATGGCTATGACATGACAATTAGGGATTCAATCAGTTTTCAGGACCGCCGGCGAAAGCCAGTGACCGTTTCGGGTCCTTATATTGTTTATATGCTTAAAGACAGTGATATTATGGAGGACTGGAATGTCATTCGACGCGCCCTTAAATCCGTTTCGTCCTCTTATTTGTAAATAAAAAAATTGTAAATTATTTTAATTTAAATATTAATTATAAAGTATTAAAAATGCATTTCATTTATGATTTAATTATGTAATTATTACAGTTATATAATGTTTTGCCATTTTTACAATTAATATTAATATTTAGGAAATTAATTCTTGAAATGTATTTGAAAATATGATTTCGATTGATATTACATTTGATTCTTGAGCGCCTCAGCCCTGACAGCAGCGATCAGATCCTGGTTTATGAGAAACACGAAGCGAAGGCCAGCGATCTCTACGACTGAATTATTGCTAATTTTGAGACAATTTCCTGCGCCGAGCACTGGCTTCGAGTCTATATAAAAGGGTCGTTTCCCGGTATTCGCGATTATGAAGTCGCCGTTTGGCTGCAATTTAATGATTCCCTGTTTGCGCGATATCTTAGAGGCCGGCCCTTCCAGAGACAGGTCCACATCGACGACACTGTCTTTAGTACATCGGCCTAAAGTGATTTCACGCGAACGCATCAAATACCGGACCAGACGTCCCCTCAAGACGGCCAGCGTTTGGTTGTCGAAGTCGGACGGCGCCACTCCTGTGATGCTGTCCACTAAGACCTGCCACTTCGGGATCTCGTTCTCTAATAATCTGATCTCGCGTTTAGTCTTTCGATCGCCAAAAAGCAACTCTTGTTGCAAAGCGTCGTCTTTAGCGGTGTTGGCATAGAGTGCAGGCATTTGGTGCTGTATTTCCTTATCTATGGCCTCTTCGGCGTCGCAAAAGTTGATCACTTCTTCATGTCGTGGTAAGGGATGGACCGTTTGATCGGGCAATAAGTGGTAGTGCTTGAGAAGTGTCCAATGAGTGGACAATGATTTTGGTGTTCTTTGAGGTAGGAATACATCCGAATGTTTGAGTAATAACTGTTCAAAAGTGTCTATTGATGGCTGACTCGTCGATAAGACACTCTTCAGAATCGACTCTTCGGATTGGCTGAAGATGGCCTTCGAGTGGACCTGTGCTATGATGTCGGGATGCAATTGTCTCATCGCAGCGACCGCTACCTTAGCGATGGTGGCGTCGTATAGGAGTGCATACCATCGGTCCTCAATGTCTTGTAGAGTGAATTTACACGAAAACTTCACGCTTTGGTAAACGCAGTCCATGTCATTGGTTTGCTGTACGGCTATAATGAGCGCCAAATCATCGCTTGGTTTCCATCGGCCGATGTCTTTCAGCGCATTGTTGTGTGCATTTCGATAGCGCCTCCTCTTCGCCGACACCGACGTCGCGATTGGTTTCGCTTTCTTCGCCACCGGCTCTGGAGTGACCACCAGTGAGGGCGAGAGCGACGGCAATGGACTGGCAATGGTTGTCAACACTTGTCCTCCTTTGCCACCAGTGCTGACCATAGTATTGGTGGACAGAGTTCTCGATCGTTGAGGTTTTGGATAAGTAATACTGCTTTCGACGACTTCGTCATCAAATTTCTTGCGTTTTATACTTCTGGAGGAACTCCTTCTTTGTGTCTGTTGTCCACCACTGCTCTCCCTCTTCGACGAAGACATCATTTGACTCCGTTTGGAGCCTTTACTGCCGGTTGGGGTCGCGATGGGAGACGTGGCCGGAGTGGTCACCGCCGACAGTGTCGACGAAGACATCGACGCCGGCGTGATCTGCGAGGACTGACTCGACTGACCATTCAATTGATTGCTTCCGATCGACGTCTGGATCGTTAAGGGATGGCAAACACTCGAGGAATAACTCGACGACAAATCCATATTCACTTCGATTGACATTTGCCTCAAAACACACAACAATTGCTTGGATTTGCTTTCAATTGCTATTCATTTCATATGAATTACAATTGAATAGTATTTCAAATTGAGATCAAAACGTGATTTCACTTCAAATCCAATCTTTTATTCAATTATTTTGTCAAACAATTGAAACAATAAATGAAATCACATTATGTTATGAAAGGCATATTTCTCACACAAATTACGTCAACTATTATTACGTTATTTGTTTCGTAATTTAATTAAATTT